TCCCTTAACAAAAAGCACCCTGCCAGTGTGAAAGTCTCACTAAGGACATCCTTCAACCTCAAAGATAGCACCTTTGCAATGATTTTATAAAGACTAGCCACAAGGCTAATTGGTCTAATTTTATAAAGGCTAGACACAATGACTTGTCCTACTTTGGAATAAGACACAGAAATGTAGCATTAGTTATTGCATTAATCATACCATTATGGAAGAATTCAACAAAATTCTCAACAAATCATTTTTAACCACCTCCAACAATCTCAAAACATTACCATAGTGAACCTATCCGGACAAGGCGTCTTATCCCAATCACACTCAAAAATAGCTTCTCTCACTTATTCTTTCTCAACAGGCCTTTCCAACCATCTAGCACTACTCTCTTCAACGGGACCCCATTCTAACCCCTCTATAGCCTTGGAGTCTTCTTAGATTAATATACCTTAACAAAGAACTCAACAATCTTAACATGTATCTCTCCTTCCTTTTTCACAATCACTTCATTGTCAAGCTCCAATTTACCAATGAAATTATTTTTCCTTCCCCTATTTGCCACTCTATGAAAGAGTTTTGAATTATTATCGCCCTCTTTTAATCAATTCACCCTTGTCTTTTGCCTCCAACTTCCTCCTCTTTAAACTCTACCTCCTCAAAACCATTTCTAAGATCTCACCTCTCTTTTTATCAAACTCTCATCTAATCTCCCACCATCCTCCATTTTATCAACCTCATCAATTCTCCCCATAATTAAGCACTTCATTATCCTCAAATCTACATATATCTCCCCATTCAAAATCTTCATTTTTTGTTTCACAACTTCCAGTTTTTTCATAAATTTGAATCCCTCCCAGCCTCAAAAATCTCCTTCCTCCCACCCTTCGCTAAACTTAACCATAAAACTATGACGATCTAGTCACATGTTTTCAAACTTGAAAGGACAAGGACCCCATCTGAGTGAAGAAGTATCAAGAGCAATAGAATAATGATTAGAAACTATCCTAAAAAGAGAACTCTATCTAACCCTTGAAAAACATTCCTCCCAGTTAATAGAAAAAAAAAACCTATCCAATCTATTATACCCTAGTTTTTTCCTAAAGTTTGACCAAGTAAAAGTGTCATTGCTAAAGGAGGATCTTTCAAATTTGCTTTCCTAGTAAAAGTGTCAAAATCCTTCATATTCCTCATAATTCACTCCAATTGAGTTTCTCTGAAGTATATTTAACCACATTGAAATCACCACCAATGCACCATCAAGCACTACACAGACCAACAACCTTGTCCTTTCCTTTTTCACAATCTCCTTCTATCCCTAGGACAATTTAGACCATACGCCATAGTTAACCATCACTCATTTCCTTTCATATTTTTTATTCTAACAAAAATTGAACATTCACCCTCTCTAGATTCCTCCGCATTAACGGACCTCTCATCCCACATTAACACTATTGCCCCTCCACCTCCCAACGAAAAACAAATAACTACTCCTATCCCTAGAAGCCACACACTTTTCATCAATCTTCTATCAACCACCTCCTTCTTGGACCCTTGCAGTATCACCACATCCAGGCTTCCTTCTAAATCAGCTCCTTTATAGAACTTATTTTCCTTTTTGACCCTACTCTTTTGGCATTCCAACTAATGATCTTCACCGAACAATATCACTACCCTTATCTTCCTTTCTACACACCACACCATTATAATTGATGTCAGACTATAAATTCTTAAGTTTCCTCATCCCTCTTGGTTTCTCTCACTTTTCCTTCCTTTTTTCTATCTCTCTGATTATTGTTGATTAGAGATAAATTCATCCTTCTCCTAGAACTCCTTTAAGATGAACCATTTCTCAATATCAAACAAACAATACCTGCATCCCCCTTATTGTACTCCTCCTTATCCCTCCACATCTTGGGAATTAATTTACACCTATCACTCTCATTACACTTGGCAGCTACACTGATAATTGTTTTAGACTCACTGGCGACAAAATTACCTATGGTATTCTGATTCTCAATGCACAATGTATAACCACAATAGCCTATAACTAGTTTCTTTATCTGGACTGACTCAGCAACTATATCTCTACCCATAGACATCACTCCTTTAGAGATAGCCTTCGAAATCCTAACATGCTCATTCATTTACTCTCCCACTTCCCCCCAAAAAAAAAAGTGAAAGCCCTCCCATCAAAAGGAGAGATAAACTCACCCTTGACCCAAAACATAACCCCCTTGTGATGATTGAGAAGAACTACAATGCAAGAGTTAGTGCAAGGGAGAGCAGTAGACATAGCTACAACAGCAAGACTTACCCCTAATTAACTTCTGGAAAATTAACTGCAACTCTATCATTACTCTTCAAAATAGTGGCAGAAATTTCAGTCGTCCGAATATGAATGGCCTCTCTATGTACCATTCCTTCTTCTCTTCAGTCTCATGACCATTTCATGCAAAAAAAAACTCCCCAATTTCAAAATTAGTCTCCACTAACTTGAAGTTGGTATCAGAGTCGTCATCATACTCAGCAATATCTTCCCGCGAACTATCATCCTCCCCGTCACTCTCATCGGAGTCGTTTCCCATACCACTATCTTCGAAGAAACCCACTTCTTCTTCTCGACCCATATTGGCTTGCTTTCCTCGTTCGATTTCATCTCTTTGATTGTCTATAATGCCACGAGATTCATTACATTTGTCTGCCTTGGCTTCATCGATGGACTCGAACCCTTCCTTGTCTCCATATTGACCTCCCTCTTCACTGCCTTCGAAGAGAACAGAAACACTAGCTTCATCTTGCCCTTTTAGCCAAGTCTTTCCCAATTTTGATTGGGTTTCAATCCGGATCAGAGAAGGTATTGTCTTAAAAGACTCTGGCTTCTTCGCATTAAATGGCCCAATCAAAATGCCCTCCAGCCATTGACCTAATTGATTCTCTGACAAAATAGGTACTCCGAATTGGGCTGCAATGAGCTTATATGTAACATCCCATCAACCTTTACTTGCTCAAAACAATATCAAGCTTTAACAAGCAAAGAAGTAGGCGCAGTAGAGCCTTCCTCTGTTAAGCCAACCATTCCTGTATTGCCAGCCATAATACGTGAATTTCCCTTAATTATCCCCATATTAACTGCAGAATCCTAAGACTTAAAATTCAAGTTTGACTTAATGATAGCCAAATCTGCATTACCAGCCTCACTTATCTTCTGATCAACTGGTGGCACTAAATTAGACACTACATTAGGAATTGGATCTTTTGTCAAACCCAAATTAGTTCCAGCTCTTGGTGCACCAAGCAAACCATCCTCCTTGCCTTTCAAGGGGCCACGTGTTCCATTTTTAGAAGCCCTCTCATCTTCAATTGTTTTCCAGTTGGATGGAAATTGCATGCTACCTTGCTGTTGATACATCATCTGGTGCCTGGAAAACAGCTTGCCTAGCCTTGAGAGAACTCAAATTCTAATGATGAACACTTCTCCTAAGAATTCAACTCTTCATGGAAGTTGGAATAAATCCAGTCATTCCCTCGTACTTTAATTTTTGCTTGGAACAAACAGTACATAAACAAAGTATCCCTATGAGTTTCGATATCTTCCTAAACACCCCTTCATCCCATACATGAAATGGCAATCCTTCAAAAGCAATCCGCCCTCCTAAAAACGATACTTTCTCCTTTCCTGCCGTTGTCGTTTGTATCCATTTTGTTAATCTCACTATATAATCTCATTCCAAACAACAGAATTCAGTCTTACAAACCTCTTCAACCTGCTTATAATTCACAGATGAAGACTGCCTTATCAACCTGGAAAGGCTCCAAGGTAATTTTGAACTTTAATTTCTTACACATTGACATGCCAACCCGAATGTACCTCCATGAATCAAAAATTCTCCCTTGTACATACTTCTGCCTTTTTCCATTTTTTGTAAACAGATGAATCCACCTGTGGAATTGAAACAATCCTATATATATTGCATATGATATCGTTTTCAACTCCCCCTGTTTTAAACCATTATTCCACTCACCAAACTACCATCATCGTTCTTGAGAACATCTATCCACTTTCTACCTACACCCCCCTTTATCACCGAACTCAACATGCCCGCCACTTCTTTTCATCCACTATGATGTGCTCCTTGAGGGATCACAATGAACCTTCTCTAACTTGTGCCTTGAATAGAGGAAATTGTTAAGAACACGCCTCGGTTGTTTCTAATCAATTCTACCCATATCTTGTATTTGTTATTACAGTACTGTCTAAAGAACATATCCGAATCCGATCAATTTGCCATTGCTGTAATCACTTTTTGAACCCATGTGAACCCACAAATATCTATTGAGACTGTATTTGCTTCTCTCAATGATCCTGATTCCATCTACCCTGTAATCTTCATCCACCTCAACTAAAATAAGTTTATTTTGAATCTTAACTTGGCCAACATTGATCTTTCGAAACAGTTATCCAAATGCCTCTAGCACAAAATAACAATTAAATTTTGAATACTAATAAAAAACAAACAAGTGCCTAAGCTTGATGGTAATGTCAAATACTAAAATACACCAGATCTGTATAGATGGTCAGAATACCACTGGTTGAAAAATACTGAATATTATAACTGAAGAGCTAAAGTGAAAGAACAAAAAGTTAGAACCATATGGGTTTAAGCAGAACCTTCTAATTCAATACTGTGACATTAATGGTGGGACCCAACAGGCCATTGCTGGGGCCTACATAGATTTTTTCTTGTTTCTTAATCTGCATTTACGTAGTACACACTTATCAAGATCTCAATCTATATCACTGAAACTGAACTCACAGGGATAACATAAATTCGTGTATTTGATCTGATATACTTTTATCCTAAAGAAATCCTCACACTTGGAACAACCTTATGATGAAGACCGAAAAAATAATGAGTAGAGAAAAAGTTCTAAATTGCCAACATGTAAATTTTTGTGAAAGAAAACCTAAATCTCCAAGAAACTTTACTGCAAATACAACAACACTTTAATCAGTCTTTGAGAGGACAATATCCAGACTGAATACTTACCACAACGCAAATGACAAATATCCGGCACTCAAACTTTTGATCGGAATGATCAGAAAACATGTACTTAACATCTGCAGCAAATATGTTACAGCAGTTGCCATTGACGGTAACTTGGCTTCTAAGGTCAATGTATGACCTTTCTATCAACAATCCAGCCATGTGCCTTTCTTCTAGTGTTAGAGAAAGAGATTTTTCCGTGGCTTCCCACGGCCAAATCTTTATTATACCACCCTCAGATCCTGACCATAGATCCCCTGGATAAAAGTAAAAGTCAGAAAACAATAAACAAAATATTCTTTAGATACTGAAAGTTGTTAAAAATTGTTTCCCTTTGTATTTTTAAAACACCTAAATAAATGACAGAATAATATATCACAAGATTGGATGATAGAAAGTATCACAGTAGAAATAGGATAGAGATTAAAATGATTTATAACAAAAATTATATATTGGCTAAGTGCTGTCAATTTCAATAATGGACAAAGATATGAAAGATGGCAAGTAAACTTTGTCATCTCTTCTAGATAACCTGCTATAGGCTCATAGCATTCCTCCAGAATCCTTCTTTTCATAAATCAGCCAGCAATGCCACAATTTGAGACAAAAATGACAGAAAAAAAAAAAAAAAAAAAAAGCATTATCCTGTTTCATATGGTGCCATGGACATGAATAGTTTAAGTTGAAACTTGAATAATTATATGCTAGGGTTAAGGAAAGAAAGAAAGTATGAAATAATATTGTGTAGGGTGCATGATGCCAACAACCTATCACCTATTTATATTAGATTGATAATAAAGACAATTACAATATTAGGAAAGTAGAACATAATAGGAAAACCACATAATAAAAAAACTAGCATGATAGGAAATTGACTTGATAGAAAAGTAGCTCTCTAGCACTCCCCCTCAAGCAAGAGTATGGAGGTTAAACATGCCCAACTTGGAATAAATGCTACTAATGGTACACACGTGCCAGTAGTTTGGTGAGAAAATCACCAAGTAAACCGTAACATCTCCACTTAGACAATAATGATAAAACCAATCTCTGAGTGACTGCTTCAGAATATTCATGGACTTCTTCAATCACTCTACCACAATACTCCCCCTGAGCAATAAATAGAGGTCTTGCTCCATGTGAAGTCTCAAACATTCCTTTTATTTTCAAGAAAAGCAATGAATGACTGCACCAAAACAAGCAATATCAACTGATGATCATGACACAGGAAAAGAACATGATGACGACAAAAGACAAACAAAAACCACCACACACCAACAACAACAATACTGACAGAAACGAACACAATCAACATCACCACAGCGAGCCACAAACACAACAAATTAGACTACAACAATAGCAATCAGGGTAAAACCAAGCAGAACTGGAGTTAAATCAGCAAAAAAAAAAAAAAAAGTTGTACCAATGCTAAAAACCACAAAACAATATTGAACTAGAATGAAAACTCTAAAAATGACAATAAATCAAATTGAAAACATTGAGCTAGAATTGAACCAAGATGAAATCACTAAAACAGAACAAA